GTGCGCTGGTGCATGCTGCCATTTTATCAATAGGTGCTTTTCCCGCCTGCGAAGAGTGAGACTGTAGACTCAAAGTCTGCAAACGAGGAGTGACAACTGTATTTTAATCTGTGTTTGTTTTAATTTTTGCAAGTTGCCTTGAGTCCCACTATTGGGGAGAAAATGAAAAATAAATGCGTAAACAACAACAACAACATCTTACCTCCCCAAATACTCCATCTCCCCATTTTTGTTGTGCAAAATGTATACAAGAAAGAAAAAAAGTAGTTAAAATAAATTAATTAAAATGAATGTGTCAACAGGTAATAAAATGAAACTACACCTACAGTATAAAAGGAAAGGGACTTGTGAAAGTCATAAAGTAACAGAAGTCCAAGTTAAGGGAAGTAATGCCCACTATATTCTCTGCTAATCAAGCATCATCTGGGTTATTGTGCTCAGGTCTGGGCATGTCATTTGAAGAAGGACACAGACAAGTTAGAGCGGGTTCAGAGAAGGACAACAAGGATGATAAGAAGTATGGAGAATAAAATGTATGAGCAAATGTTGAATGGTTGGGCATGTTCAGCCTGGTGACGAAATGAACGAGGGGTGATATGATGACACTCTAAATACCTAACCAGCTGTCACCGAGACGAGGAGTCAGGTTTGTCCTCTGCTGCCCCAGTGTGTAGAATCAGGTCTAAAGATTTGGAAGTAACAAGACAAGAGGTTTTGATTGAAGATTACAAGGAACATCTTGATTATAAGAGTGGTTCAGCCACCAATTACTTAGATAGACTGGGAGGGGGTGTGTGTCTATTTTTCAAGGAGAGACTAGACAGCTACCTGCTGGAGATACCTAGGTGGGGTTCTTGCATTGAGTGAAGGATTAGATTTGATGGCCTATTAGCCCCCTTCCAACCCTATGATTCTAAATCCACAGTGCTTCAACACCATTGTCTTTCCTATAGGTATCCTATCAAATAAGTACTTATGTAACATTAGGAACTGACGGGAAACAGAATGTGTGGTAAAGCATGAAAGACTATTATGCCTAAGGTCCAAAACACACTGCAGAAATAGCCCAGTTTGAAACTGCTTTAACTGCCTTGGTTCAGTGTAAGGGAATATTGGGAATTATAGTTTACTGTGGCACTAGAGCTCTCTGATAGAGAAAGCTAAATGTCTCACAAAATTCCCAGAATTCCCTAACGCTGACCCAAGGCGGTTAAAGCAGTCTGAAATTGCATTATTTCTGCAGTGTGTTTTGGACCAAAGTCTAAAATATAATGGAATATTTTTAAATGGGTGCCACGGAATACATCCCATGTATAGGTAACTTTCTGACAAAAATGTGGATTCCCCACAAAGAGTGATCAGAAAGGAAACAGGGTTACATTCCATTTGGGTGTATATCTGGACAAACATGATTTGGACTGCAGTGTGAGAAAATCACGATCTGTGTAGTACATAGTGATGAGAAATCACTAGTCAAGTTGTTTTCAGCAAACTCATTGTGACAATGTCATAGTGGAGAAAACTCTACGACTATATCACATTATGGACTTGCCATCCAGGTTTGGCAATACAGTCTGCTCTTCTCTTCTGTGGGCTTGCCATCCACGAATTGGAGCATCCACGGATGGCCCTGCCCCATTCTCCCTAATGGTGGCATGTGGATGTGGATCGGCTACGTGGTCAAATATCATGCGTCCATTGAGGGCAGCAGGACTTGAGGTCCCACAGAATTTGTTATCTGCAGGGGTGTGTGTCTAGAATTGAACTCCTGCACATATGAAGAGCCAACTTCAGTATCAGGGAATAGAAGTATCAGGTGGGTGTGGGTGTTGTTATAGTTGTTGTGTGCCTTCAAGCTGTTTCCAACTTATGGGGACCCTAAGGGGTTTTCTTGGCAAGTTACTTCATGGGGGGGCTGTCATTGTCAACCTCTGAGGCTGAGAGAGTGTGACTTGCCCTAGGGCACACCTAGTGGGTTTATGTCTGAGTGGGGATTTGAACTCTGGTCTCCAGAGTCATAGTGCAACACACAAACCACTAAGCCACACTGGCTCTCTGTCAAAACATAACCTTTCTAATGCGCAAAGCAGAAGGACTTTGAGTTAACTCTGAGTTCACAGACCTTCTTTAGTGCATGAAAAATAATTTGTGGTCATAGATGTGGGAATTTTTTCAAACCTCAATTACATCAAAACATTCTTGCTGTTTAATGGTGTTTTGTATGGCACCATTGTGGCATAGGATATACAGTCAATATACGCTGAAACTATATGACTGGGATGTTATCTTTGGAAGCAATACTTTTAGCATCTGTAATTTATGATGATCTGGTTCTTGACTTCGAATGGTTTTTCTTAGAAAAATCTGAGAGAATTGCTAGCGGTAATTGCCTTCCAGGACAGCAAATTCCCCCATGCCACACCCACTTCTGTTATTTATTATTATTAATCTTGTCATATGCCTAATTACAGGCAAACATTTCCTATGATAGTTTGTACAATCAATAGGTATAGATCTGCAAGCAAAGAAGGTGGATCCACCATTTTATTTTATTGTCCAGTGAATCTGTGCTGGGTTCTGTTATGAACTGTAAAGGAGCTATCCATATGGGGATAGAGTTGAGCACCTTGCATAGCTCCTTTAAATTTTAGACTGGGGGGGTTGCAGACTGCCAGAAATAGTGCAAATTGAGTCCACTCTTAGGGTTAGGGTTAATGCTAGGGAATCATGGGAACTGTATTTTGTTGTGGCACCAGAGCAATCTAACAGAGAAGGCTCAATGTCTCAGAAAAACAACAATTCCCATGATTCCCTAACTTAACCCTAATCCTAAAAGGGGACTCAATTTGCACTATTTCTGGCAGTCTGCAATCCCCCATGGTGAGGATGCTGGAATAGTCAGTCCAGCAACCACTCCACTGACAGAAGCCAGCAGGACTGTTGGATGTAAAATTCTGTTTTTCCCTTGGAAAGGGAATTATGGATGACTAAACTGCCCAGAGACCAAGCGGACATTCCCTGAGGTCATTAGGCCATGATCTACATTAACTTTGAGCATCCCTAAAAGATGCCTGGAAAACTAGGTAAGCCACCTTTATGTACAATTTACAAATCCTGTTGTATGTCCTTTATAGGGGACAGAAATAAGGAAGTCTGGCCCTGACAGCCAGATTACCTGATCAGGTTTTAAGGCTTCCTCAAAAAATACATTCACATATACAACATGGTAATATTGCTTTGCCAGCAATGTTGTAATTACAGACTACAGTTTGAGTACATGGTGTTCTACAGTAATAAAATATGCATGACTCCCCACTCCCAATAGAGCTAAAGATCTCTTTTAGAGATATTTGCTAGCTTAAATGAAACAAATATTCAGCTTCCACCCATCCACCACAAGTGGGATTTTAAAAAGCTTTTGACAGTCCTAAGGGCACAAGTTGATGGTAAGGTCTATTGACCTTCAAATGGATACTGACTTTGATGTCCCTTTGAAAACCCCATCTCTGTTATTACAGTGCCACCTGGGCACATAGCAATATGATAGAAGACAGGACTCTGCCCTAAAGAGCTTACAATATAAGGCTGGATGAGAATCATGTGGCAAGCATAACTAATGCTAAGAAATATTAGAGGTTCTTATGATTCCTATTCCTGATACTAGGCTTGTCTGAGAGGTGGAAACAGAGAAGTGGAGGAGGTAGCTAGGTATGAATGTATACACACCATGCACACACAAATATACTGTTGCAGGCAGGGGCAATTGCCGGATGAAGTTGGTACAAATTACTGGGGTCTAGCAGTCTGGAAGGAGACCCAGAGCTAAATTGTATCCGCATTGAGTATGTTTTTGAGTAAACATTGAGTATGTTTTTGTCTTTGGAGCAGAGCAGCCCCAAATCCCATATTTTTTATTTGGTAAGAGTAGAAATACCAGGTGCCAGCTGTATTCCCAACAGGAAGACCCCAAGCCTGCAACAAAATGGCCTCATGCAAGATACTATGAAGATCCATTTGTTGCAACCATGGCTGGCACCTGATCTTTCTGCTTTCAGCTCCACAGGTCCAAGTGAATGAGGCAAGCAGTATGTGAGGCAGGTCTATATAAAGCCCACCTGAATTCTCACAACAGAATACGCCCTTGCAAGAGTTCCCAGCTCCTATGTGAGGGCTCTCCCATTGTGCTTTATGAAAAACCTGGCAACAGTCACTGGGATGGCTGGATTTTTTTTTTTCCATCAAGGCCTGAATATGTTCTCTATTGCTCTTGTTGCAGTGAGGCGACTGTCTCAGGCAGAAAATATATTTCCCACTTTTCTTTGAAGAGCAAAACGTATCCCCACACAGCCTGGACCTTCTAAAATAGACTGTTGTCTCAGGTATGGTGGAAGTTTCCACTCTCTCACTAGCATTCAAGAAAGATACACTTGCCATCTAGTTTGGCTTCTGTGTGGGGAATGGAGAGAGGGAAACATTTTGTTCATTGCCTCAAGCAGCTAAATGTCTCAGCCCAGGCTGACCTTGCCATTTTGTCCTTTTAACCTACAACTTCTAGTTTGCATCTTTGGATCCAGTTTTCTTCTCCCCCTCCTTGGCAGAGTGTGCTAACCAAATTTAAAGGCTCTTTAGTGGTGAGATGGAAAGACTTGCTTAATTCTTCCACTGAAATCAACGCGACTTGAAATCACTTTCACAAACCTGTCCAAGCAAATCTGCCAATAATGGTGAATGGAAAAAGGTAATAATGAAGGCAGACCTCCATTTCGTGAACTAAGCACAGGTAAAGTGGTATCCTGCTGATAAACATTATTTTTCAATCTATTTTTCTTCACATTACCAAACAGAAAGTTCGTAAACACTGGTGAATAATTGAATCCCTGTTGTGCAGTCACCTGGCTGAGTCATGGGACATGAGGGTCAGGGTATGTGCAGAAGCCTGTGTGGAGTAGTAGTCTGAGTATTAGACTATACTTGGAGATGAGGATTTGATTCTGCAGCTGGTCATGGAAACCCACTGGGTGACCTTGGGTGAGTCACACACACTCAGCTCCAGAAAACACCATGATAGATTCACTTTAGGGTCACCATAAGTCATCTTGGAAACAACCTGAAGGCACACAACAACAACAACAACAACAGCAGCAGCAGTGGTAATAAAATTAAGCATTCATAAAACTGAAAAATCAGTACCAAATGTTCACCATCTTAGGACGTTATCACACGGGGGGAATCTGTTGGTTAATCTACACA